GGAGGGAGGAACCCAGGCCGGCCTTCGGGCCTGGCCCCTGGCTGCGGCCTCTCGGCCCTGGGCCTTGGGGCTCGCGGCCCGGCGCGCCGCCCCGCGCGGCTCGGCGCGGCCGACGGGCTCGTCGCGGCAGCGTCAGCGATCAGTATCCTTTACCAGATCCCCATCCCCATCCCCTTCGAGACCCCCACCAAATTGCCACCCCAGTGGGGGATACACCCCTCGAAACCCGAAGGGAACGGCCCACATCCCCATCTTAGGGGGGTAAATCGGCCAGCGGGGCCCAGGCCACGCCGCAGGGGATGGGGATCGGTTAAACGGTACTCATGCGAGGGTCTGCGGTCGCGGCTCTGCGTGCTCGGAGCTGGGCGGCGTCGGCAGAGAGGATCGGGAGCCATCCAGCGCAAGGTCGTTCAGAGCAGGCCCGTCCTCGCGACGTCTGGAGCAAATGCCAGAGCATCGACCGCAGGGGGCTTGGGAAGGTCGCTCGGTAGGAGACTGTTTCTCCGGATCGAAGATGCCAGCGGCGATTCACCGCCGCCCCTTGCCTTCTGGAAACGCCCATGCAGCCCAACGTTGGGCCCGAGATTGGACTGAGTGTTCCATCAGCCGTTGTGGGACCCCTTGAGGGGGAATCTTGGGAGAGGAAGATACATGAGGAGGAGATGGAGGAGAAGGAGAAGGAGGAGAAGGGGGAGGAGGAGGAAGAGGAAGAGTAGGCCTCCTGATGCCCTGGGAGCTTCCTGGGAGCTTCTTGAGGGCCTCTTGGGGGCTTCTTGGGGCCTGTTGGGGCCTCTTGGGGGCTTCCTGGGAGCTTCTTGGGGGCCTCTGAGGGCCCTCTGAGGGCCCCCCTGGTGCGTTTTGGGGCCTCCTGGGGCCTCTTGGGGGCCATTTGAGCTTGGGCCGTCTTGCGGCCCTCCTGGGCCGTCCCCCTGCGCTGTCCCCAAGCTCGGCGGCGCCCCCGAAGGCACCGGGAAGACCTTTCAGAAGGCGCCAGGGCTTCTGAGAAGCCCCACCCGCCGACTTTCTGAGAAGGCCTTCTCCTTCCCACTTCCCCCCCTCGCTCGCCGCCGACGTGTCTCGAACCAAGATCGAGGTGCCCGACCTAGGGGTGCGGCCCACCCCCGCGCGCTCCTCAACCCGCCGCAGAGCTCCCGGGCGTGCCCGGCAGAGCAGTGCGGAGGTCGTCGCACTCTACCGAAAGCTCTCACTTGCCCCCTCCACGGGCTCCTCCATCTCCTCCTTCTTACTCCTCCTCCACTGGCTCCTTCATCTCCTTCATCTCTTCCTCCTCCTCCTCCTCCTCCTTCCTCCTCTCCTAACGCTCGACTCCTCCTCCTCCTCCCCTCCTCCTCCTCCTCCTCCTCCTCCTCCTCCTCCTCCTCCTCCCCCCCCCCCCCCTCCTCCTCCCCCCTCCCTCGCCGCCGACCACCTGCCCCGTGCCCCCTGCCCTCCCCGCGCCCCCCGCCCTGCCGCTGCCCGGCTCCCCGCCGGCCTCGGGGCCGCCGCCCGCGCGCCCTCGCACCGCAGCGCCGCCGGCGCGGGGCGGCGCGCGGGGGGGGGGCTGCGCGGGGCGGCGGGCCGGCGCCCCTCGGCCGTGGCCGCCGCCGCCCCTTGCGGCGGGGGGAGGCGCGCCGCCGCCGCCGCGCCGCGCGGGGCGGCGCCGGGCTCGCGTCGGCGGGGCCGCCTCGGCTTGAGTCGGGCAGGTCCCTCTACAGGAGGAATATTATTCAAGAATTGGGAGGACATGGTGTGGGGGACGATTTTGGAGTTGTTCTGGGTTGTTTTTGAGCATTGTTGGGCCATTTCTAATTTCTCGTCCAGAATGCCCCTGTAGGAGGGCATGCCCGACCTAAGCCTCGGTCTATGTCTCCCAGAGGGGGCCCAAGTGTCCGCAGAGGGTCTTTCATGCTGCGCCCCCTCCGCCCCCCCCCCAAAGCTCTCGGCTGGCGGTACTCGTCATCCCTCTCCCCGCCCTCCTCTCCCCGCCCTCGTCGTCGTGATCGTCGCGATTTTCGTGATCATCGTCGTGACCGTCGTGATCGTCGTCGTCTTCGTCGTCGTCGTGATCGTCGTCGCCCTCGTCTCCTCGCCCTTGTCGTCGTCGTCGTCGTCGTCCTCGCGATCGTCGTCGCCGCCGTCTTCATACAGATCATTTGCAGTTAGATGGGGTCGGACGAGCGCCGCATCGCCGATGCATCCGCATCGCCGATACATCTCCGACGCTGCGCGATGCGAAGCCCTATTTGCGCCGCGCTGGCGCCGCCGATGCACCGCCGATGCATCGCTGATGCATTTCTGATGCATCGGTGATGAATCGACCATGTGCGCCCTCACCGACGAGAGCCGAGCGCCGCCGCCGCCGCCGCCGCTCGGCGCGGCGGCGCGCGGCGCTGGGCTCTCGTCGGTGAGGCCGCGTCGAGAGTCGAAGAACGAACAACCGCACGAACAGAAACTTGTTGGCGGCCCGCGCGAATTTCTTGAATCTGCGCTGAGGCCACATGCGGCGCTGGAGGGAGGAGGCTCTAGCTCAGATCCAAGAAATCCGTGCGGACCATCGAAATGTTATGTGTATGCCGTTTTTTTTCTTCCTCTAGTCGAGGGGGAGCGAGGAGGGGCTTGGGAAGGGGGGCGCTCAGGCTTCCCAGCTGGGTTCAGCAGCGAGGCCCCCATTGGCACCTTTCCTCAGGGTGTGGCTGGACTGGTGGGGGGGGGCGCCCGGATCGGGATCCCAAATCCGGAAGGGCACAGAACCCACGGAATTGCACATGCGCAGGTGGATGTGGAGGTATTTGCCAAAGGGGGAGCTCAAGCGTGCGAAGGTGGCCGCTTCGAGCGCGGCGAGTCGTCGGCGCAGCGCTGGGCGCTGGCGTCGAGGCCTGCAGCCATGTCGGCCAGGCCGCGCCGCCCTGCTCTCCTCCACTCTCTCTTCAATTCATTTCGCCGCGCGACCTTGCCCTGCCCCTGGAAGGCCTCCGCCACACCTTTACCAGACATGCTCGCGTCGTAAAACAATCAGGACGGGAGGTTTTTCGCTATTTTCGGCCCCAGGGGACCGCGACTCGGGACGAAAAGCCGGTCCTGGGAAAAGGGTCGGGACTTCCGGGGACGCCCGCCTGAAAAATCAGGATGTCGCATGCCTGGGTTCCAATCGTCGCAGCCAGTCCAGGGTTCTGCTCTGCATTGCCACGCGGTGGCTTGCTGTATGCTCGCTCGCAGCGCTGAGAAGGGGGTACTGTCGAGCCACGCGTGCTTGATGCTGGCGCGTGTAAGTCAGTTCGGCGGCCGCTTTGCGAGGGGAAGGCGACAGCCTGTCCACTGCCCTCTTTTCATACGGGTGGTCCAACAGGAACGCCCACATCCTGTTTGCGCCATGTTTCCCTGGATGCCGAATGTCAGTTGAGCGACGTAAAAAACGGGGTCGTCTTCGCGGACATTGGCGCGTAAGCTGCCTGCGTCAGCTCGCGCGTAAGCGCCCTCGCTTCAAGCGTAGCGTGCCGCGCTGGCGGCCCGCGCAAGCCACCGCGTAAGGTCGCTGTGCCATCTTGCTTAAGACCCGTTTTTGATCGTCGCTCAGTTGGGCCCCCTAGGCCAGGGGACCCGAGCTCCAGCGAGATCCAACGAGCCCCAGCGATGCGCAGCGATCCACCCCCGTCGACGCACTTCCAGGCAGGGCCGCGCGATGGCTACAGTGCCTCGGGACCCAGGCGGAGACGGGCGACCGCCCAGGGTCGTCTGGACGGCTTGTGGCTGGCTGTTCGCCGATGCATCGGGGAACGGCCGTCAGAGACGGACCCAAGGTTACGCTGCATCTTCGGGGCACCTCGCGTGTCCCCAAGATTGGTGTCTTCTCTTGGGCCCGACGCGGGCTCGATGCGGACTCGACGCTGATTTGGCGTGGATTCGACGCGGATTCGACACGGATCCGACTAGTCCGACATGGATTCGACTCGGATTCGACGCGGATGCGGCCGCGACGGGACAGGCAAGGTCCCCCGACGATGCAACGTAATCCAGGCGGCGGCCTTGGCTTCCCCCCCCCCCAATAGAACAGGAATGTTGACAGTCTCGGAACCTCCTGTGCTCTTGGGTCCTCGTTTTCTCGCCGCTGCGAAACCCTGTCCTCTCCCTCCCGCGCGCCCCACAGGAAGCTCCACCCGCGGCCCTAGAGGGGGGAAACAGGTCTGCGGGAAGGGGCCGGGAGGGGTTCTGGGGGCCCTCCGCTGGTTTAATCTTTTGCGGGTGCGTCCACTTGTCAATGGCATGCACGCGGCATCACTTGATCGGATTACGCATCCGCAGGGGTAACCCACTTGGAAGCTGGCTCGGTGGATCCATTCACACGGCAAGTCCGATCGACTTGCGAGCCAGAGGGGTAGGCGTTCAATTTGGTCCGTCGTGTCATGCAGTTTCCCTGTGCGATTCGAGCTGGGGAGATTCCCAGGCACGGGCGCGAGGCACGAGTGACAAATCCGATGAGTGGCCTGCCGCCGTCTGTTCAACATCAAGCAGTTCAACAACCAGCAGAAGTCATGCAATCAAATGTCAGCCCGTGTGGACCCCGAACTGTGTGTTTCTAGAAGTCTATGTGGTGCAATCTGTGTTGAGCAATGTTCGTCGCGGAACGCAGGTGGTGCAATGCAAATTGTGCAAGCTATGTGATGCAACATGTGTGGTGGTGCAAAAAGTATGGTGGAATCTATGTGGTGCAAGCGCATCTTTGGCGGTGCAATCGACGTGAGGCAATCTAAGTGGTGCAGCATATGTCGTGCTATCTAGGTTGCGCAATATCTGTGTTGCAGTATATACGGTAAAATTTATTGGTGCAACCTATGTCATGCAGTATATGTCGTGCAACCAGTGCGGTGCAATCTAGGTGGTATAATCTATGTGGTGTATTATCTGTGGTGCAATCTACGTGGTGCTACCTATGCTGTGCTGTCTATGTGGTGCAGTATATGCGGCATAAGCTAAAGGTGTAATCTATGTGATGCGATCTAGGTTGTGCAATCTATGTGGTCATCCTGGAGGCGTCGGCGGGGCGGTGACGGCGGCAACACAGCCGCCAGACCAACAGAAAAGGCTCAGACGGTGGGCGGCGACGAGGCGGCGACGGGGCGGCGACGGCGGCAACGTAGCCTTCAGACCGACAGACAGGCCCAGACGACGGGCGGCGACGATGCGGCAACGGGGCGGTGACGGCGGCAACATAGCCGCCAGACTGATTGACAGGCCCAAGTCCTTCAAGGAGAAGTACGAACCCATAAAGTGCAAGCATTCTTTGGGGAACAACTTTGTCGTGCTGCCTTGCCGCATCTCCCTCCTGTTGCCTCACGGACGGCCCCTTGTTGTCATGCCTTTGCTAGCCATTCAACACAAATGACGACTCGTCGTCTGCTGTCTTGCAGCGGCTTCGGGGATCGTTCTGTTTTTATATGTGGTGTACGATTGCCCGCGCCTGCACTAGCAGCAATAAGCACCGTTTATCTGCCCAATGACTGCTCTCTTGCGCGTTGAGCGTGGGACAGATAAGGGTAGCGCTGTCGGTCTTCGTGTCGTGACGCTGGGTCAGCCTCTTTCGAAGGGCGCGCGCTTCGCACTCGCAGAGCGTTCTCCGAGGGTCGGAAACAGCCATGTGTTAGCTAGCGTGGACCCCAAACAGTGTGTTTCTAGAACTCTATGTGGTGCAATCAATGTGGCGCAACCTAAGTAGAGCAATCCATGTGGTGGTATCTGCGTGGTACAGTATACGTTGTTCAATCGATCTAAGTGGTTCAGTTTTTGTGGCGCAATCTATGTGTAATTCGTGTCTGTTCGCAGTGAGTTGTCCACTCCACTGCTCGCGCAATCATTCCACCCACCCGCCCGCAACGTGGCTTGCGAAACCCATGCGGCAGCGATTGCGATTGTGCTTGGAGCTGGCTGGTGCATCTCTGCGGCCGCGCTAGCCCGCTTGCATGCTCGCGCGCGCAGCGGCCACATAGTTTGGCGCTACCGACGCGGCCGCGGTGGCGCTGACCGCTGGGCACTTCCCACTGGGCACTTCGGCGACTTGGGCTGACGACGTCGACAAGGGTAGGTGCGATGATGCTGGTAACGATGCTGGTTGCGATGATGACAACGACGCGGCAAGGCCAATGATGGCACCGATGCGGATCACGCCGACGACGATGACGGCCCTCGCGTCGGTGATGATGGTTTTGGGGGGATTTCGACATTGCTCGCGCGGCCGACGCGCGAGAGTGGCCCGCATGGAATTATTTGGCACGGATCATGCCCCCCAGCACGCGCGCAAGGTTTCTAATGATTTCCACGTGCGGCGCGGGGAGCCCTTTGCGCCGAATTTAATGAACGTGTTGAACAATCTACGGTTTCCCTGGTAATTCGCAGGAACGCGAACGCAGGCATTTTTGAAACCTGATGTTGCGAAACCGTGTTATATATACATATATATATATATATATATGTTTTCGGGGTATTCGATTCTGGTTCTTACACCACGTAAGGTTTTTGACGGATCTCGGCATGCGCGCGCGACGACGCGCGCGTGTGTGCACTTGTTTCCATTCTCTGCTACAAAAGGATTCTTGCGACAGCACGCGCGCAAGGCCGTTCGAACGATTCCGACATGACCGCGCGAGAGGCTCGCTTGGTAGCACGTAGTAAACATGTTGGACAACGTTTGGTTTTCTTAAGAACTTGCCATAGCCCGTGCGTTTTTTTCGTTATGTCTTTGTTGACGTTTTTTTTTCGAAGCCATTCTTCCTCAACATATTTCTGGGACACGCGGTCTTTAACTTCTTACGAAACCTTTTTTTGTTTTTGGAAGGATTGTGGCATGCGCGCGCGACGGCGCGCGCGCGTGCATTTCTTCCCGTTTTTGGCAAAAACGAATTTTGAACACGGATGGTTTTTGACAAACGAGTGTGCGCGGTTAGTATTTGTTGCAGAGGGTGAGGGGAGGGGGGCGGATATCGGCCTGCCTCGGATGGTGCGCGCTCGTATTTCGGATGGGCGATGGGGCAGAATCGTATGTACATTGCAGTATGAACAGCGGGGCTGTTAATTTCTGGGGGGGGGGGGTAGAGCCGAATCTATGTTTTAAAAACAGGATATAGATATGGTGCACTTTCCCTAAGGCAATATACGTGGTACAGTCCATGTTATGATATCTATGTCGTGCGATATCTGTGGTGCGGTTCGCGCTTCCGCGGTTGAAATTGCAAACTCCGCTGCTCGCGCAAGTATCCCACCTACCCACCCACCCGCCCGCAAACTGGTTTGTAAAATTTATGCGGCGGTGATTGCGATGACTGCTTGGCGTTGGCTGGTGCGTCGCGCGCGCAGGCTCGCGCGCAAAGCTGCCAGCTATTCCAACGCGACACACGCGGCCGCGGTGGCGGTGACCGTTGGGGACTCCCCAGTGCATCTCGCAGGCCACGCTAACGCGCGGGCGCGTCACTGCGAGTCGGTGAACCTGGCGGGCGTGGCATCATGGCGACGTCGACGACGGCAGAAGCGGTGATGATAAGAGAGATGTTGGGGGACGAGGATACTGATAGCGGCGGCAAAGCCAATGATGGCGCCGATATTGATTACTTCGGTGACGATGATGGTGTCCACGTGTCGGTGATGAATGTTTTGGAAGGTTTTCGACATGTGCGCGCGGCCGACAATGGCGAATGACCCGCATGGTATGATTTGACTCCGCTTCGAAGTGCGCCGAGGCGGGGCCGTCTACGTTCCGCAACGCCATGCAAAGGGCCCCCAGGCACGGTGGTGTGTGGTTGCCTTTGCGTATATGGTTGCGTCTTGGGCGGGTCTTCGTATTCGTCGTGAGAGCTGAGGTCTTTCTTTTGCGTTTGGCGCCGGTTCGACACGGATCGGCGATACGCATT